TGCAAGGCTTTATGTGATCTATATACCAAGCCTGTGTGGCTAGAAAGATCTAAGATGCACAGACGTTTGCTAGAGTTATCAAAACATTAAAGTGTCATAGTTGCAATAAGAAAAGATAGCCCCGACGAGATGGATAATCTAGTTATTTGGTTCAAAATAGTAAAGCATAATTTTGTTACACAGAAACTGAAATTTTCAGAACACTGCATTTGAATCTGGATACTCAATTTGTATGGTTGAGCTACTCCTGTGCTATATCATGTAGCAGATGACATAAGATATTTCATTCATTGCCATTGCTGATAAAAAGCACTGCCTAAGAGATGAAGCTAGTTTTATCTTAATAAATCTTTCAAAGTGTTGTGGAATTTGTACCTTCTGCTTGTGAATGGCATAACTCATCTCTGACAAAATATTTTCACTAAATTGTGAAAACTGTGAAGCTCACTAAATTGAAATTTTAAAACCTAGTATCTGCTGGGTATCAACTATGCATAGGCCATGTATCTTCCCTCCTCATCCCTCCCCTACCCTCTCTTCCCCTACCCTCCCCTTCTGTCTTGTCCCCTACTTATTAATGGACAGTAGATTACAAAGTTTCAAGCAATAGAAACTATGTCACATTTAAAGAAAGTAATGTATTGTTGGTCTTGTGCTCAAAAAAACAAACAAACAAAAAACAGCTATCTTTATTTTGAAATGACTCCATTGAAGAAATGAGAGAAAACGTGTATTTTCAATACAGGCTTTTAAAATCCTTTACCAATTAGCAGTATTTAGGGAAAACATAATGATGACCATTTTTGCTGAGTATGTATCAATTTATGTATCATTGTACAAATCAATAGGTTCATTTGGCACTATTGTAAGCAGTGGACACAGTGGACACAGTGGACACAGTGGACACAGTGGACACAGACTCATTTACTTCAGCATTTCTATCTGTTGTTTCAGGAAGATGTGTTAGATACATTTTATTACTTTAAATTATTTTTTCCTTTTTTAACTGTTTGAAATAGAACACAGGATTGGACAAAATAATTATTTGAGGGAAGGGCGAGGAGAAGTAAAAAGAATGATGAAAATAAATACCGGTATAAAACATGTCAAAATGTGAACAATTTGGATTTATTTTAACTGCATCTGACTTTTTCTTTCTTGATTTCTGTACTAATGGTTGCAAACCATCTGGTTTTATTTTTACATTTGCATTTATGTAATGGTAAAGTCAGTTGCTTCATATTTGCAACCATAAGAAATTAAGAAAAAATAGCACAACTAGATCTTTAAAAAGCCTGGATAATTTTATGGCCATTAATAATGTTTGCAGCTGCAGTGATGAGACAATAATTATGTTTCATATTTTGAGCTTAACGTCATTATCTGCTATGATGTCATCATTTGCTAAGACAAGCAGATTATTCTTTATGGAACCTACTTTTTGCAGAGTATAGAATATTTTAGTAGATTTGAGTTTTCAATGAAATTTGTCTTGATTAACACATAGAAGGAAAGGTGGCTCAAATATTACATCATATATTTTTTCTTTTTTCTTTTGTCCAGACTATCACTCAGCGCACAAAAATAAAAGAAATTTTTTTAAAAAATAACAACACTAATTTTAAAGGAAAGGTTAAAAACAAAAACAAAAAATGAAGGACGATTATTTCATGGAGAAAAGAAAATTAGAAGGGCAGAAGGTCATCTAATTAGCTATGTGTACCCTCACATGTGATAACTTTAATATAGCCATAATGTATACTTTAAAAATGAAACACTAATAATCCAGTATAGCAAGTTATAGCTTTGTGTGTTCCTTTACCTGTCAAGGTGGTTAAAGAATCAATTAAATAGAAAGAACAGGCTTTCTTCTCTTTCTTCCATTCCAAAAGGGAAACATTATTGAAATTGATAATGTCAAGTTTATAAGTCAGACCTACACCTACGATTTCTTAGAACGGAATTGATTAAAGTGTTAGAGCTAAATCCAGTTTCTTAGCATGCACATAACTTATTTTACATAGTGTGCCAAATCTTGTTTTATATTAGATCCTGGGTTATGATGATTTTGTTATGGCAGTGGAACTTGGACTATGGCACATAAAAGCTAAATATGCATGACAAAGTATATGATAAATATGACTTTTTTTAAAAAAATGTATAACTGGAGACTCTGTCTATAGGACAATTAAAATATTCTAAAAGGAAAAGGAAAGATGATTCCTTAATTCCTGTGCTGCTTTACAATCCTACCATTAACCTGGTATTTAATATATTTGCTTCTCACATGCATATAACATTAATAGTGTGTCTTTATTCTTTTTTTTTTTTTGACGGAGAGGGGGGGAATATAAATTTGCTTATATCCAGCAGTTTATAGTGATCTAGCCTTAAAAATGATGTTGCATAATGAAGAACAGTTTCCATGACAGATTTGTCATTGAAATGGTGTTAGGGTTGTCTGTTTGATTTTAGTCAATAATGGATATATTGGACATGATGATAAAATCAATTGATGAATAAGCAGGAAAGAAGGTATACATGTTCTTTTTCCACCTTGTAGAATCTTTTCAAATGAAGGGCAGGCTTGTTGAGTTGTAAATCTATGGCAGTAGAAGGTGGGAATAACAGGTTGTTCATTTGTTACATTTATGCACTGTGTTTCTTCTTAAGGCATCATACATGGTCTTGTGTTCCATTTTTTATTGTAAGAGTCCTGTGAGTAAGATCAGTTGGAGAAAATATAATTGGCTTAAGGTCACTCTGATTCTATTTATTTTTTGCACTTCTATGATTTATTGTTAAAAAGTAATCTCATCCATTGCTGTTTCTCTCCATTAATAAAGTGGTATAAGCTCTTTCTGCAAGGAGAATTCAACGATCAATTCATCCAAACTATTGCTTGCATTATTATGCCATTGCATCAACCTCTCATCATTATCCAACTTTGCAGGCAATTTTTAAACACAAAAAGATAATAAATGAGATATCATTTCTTTTCTATTCCTATACTGTATGTAGAATTTTTCTATGGCTAAGGATTGGAGCTGAACAAAGAAGGGTGAAGGATGAAGTATGATAGAGTCTGAATATTAGAATAATTTGAAAGCACAATCGCAATAGTTTCCATTATAGTTACAAAAGAATATATATTATTTACAAGTAACATACAGTATGTATTTTAATTATGTGGCTTTTTTGTCAAAAACCATATTATGTTTTT